TTCGTCTTGGAATTGTTTTAGAAGATGCAAAGCTATCAGCTTGGAGTGCATTCAGCGCATGTTCAGTATCTTGTGGAGGAGGTATAAGAAAACGAACTCGCGAATGCACCAGACAGCGTTTTGGCGGGAAAAATTGCTCCACTGTCGGTCCGCTCACCGATCCAGTTCCTTGTAATGTTCACAACTGTTCAGGTAGGAGGAAAAACACAGACTACTCGAAGTGCAAATTTCTTTCATTATAATGTCAACGATTGAAATCTATCTTTCTGATTTGTGTACTGCTACATCGTTAGTAAGACCAAATTTTTATGTCCAGAAAAGGTGTCTGCGGGCAACAGAATTCCCTCTTGATTGATTGATTGATTCACTTTTATTTGAATACGGTAATTTCATAAGTTACATAACTTTTTTACATGAAAGCCGTATAAAAACAGAAGTAAATACTGTACAACTACACTAAAAATATGTACAAATAATAAAATATAGTAAAATGTAGTCAACAGTTTGCCTGCCTACTAGCCAGTTTTCTTTTAAAGATAGCTTTAGATTCGGACGCTTTTATNGGCAACAGAATTCCCTCTTGATTGATTGATTGATTCACTTTTATTTGAATACGGTAATTTCATAAGTTACATAACTTCTTTACATGAAAGCCGTATAAAAACAGAAGTAAATACTGTACAACTACACTAAAAATATGTACAAATAATAAAATATAGTAAAATGTAGTCAACAGTTTGCCTGCCTACTAGCCAGTTTTCTTTTAAAGATAGCTTTAGATTCGGACGTTTTTATATCATTTGGTAATGAATTCCACAGCATTCGTCCTCTGTATGAGAAAGACCCTTTATAATATTCTGTTTTTGGAACGTGGGCCAGTACAACATTATATTCCGTATTTCTTAGCATAGACTTATAAGGGTTGTTCTCACAGACATTCTTGCGCACAAGTCGAGAGAAATGGGGGCGGTTTTAGTACCGATACCGCCAGCAGCTGACAGTCTAGAAAATGCTTTTTCTTGCACTTTCATCTTAGGGCCTTAATCCCATTCCAAAGCTAAGAGGATAACCCGTTATCCTCTCTTTGCACATTCCATTGATTAGATCTTTTACTTAACCCAATTATCGGTTGCCCTAAAAATACATCTGAGCTGCAGAGAAAATATGTAATTTGTGTCTTTCCTGGGGTTTATCTTTCTGGTGAGAAAGATCCGTGGCTGATAACTTACTGATTGGTATTGGCGACTTCAATTTGTATTCTAGGGATTGCTCGGGAAGACAGAACAAGACAGGAAATGTCTCCAACTTATTTAGGTGAGTGTAGATAGTCATTTTCTCCTTAGCTCACAACTCTGTTAAAACCATGCATTTAAACGGGTTAGGGATAGATTCGAAAACGTGACTGAATTGTATGGTTGCTTGCGCGGCTTGCGTTCTAACCTGCTACCGAATAAGATTTTGCGACAGTGGTTTTCTAAAGTTATTCTGTTTTCCTCCAAAGATAGTTAACTTGATAATTTCATGAAGATCCCACAAATTAAATCGAGATTTCTTTGATCTTTTAAACACTTATCGTAGGAAATCGAGAAATTGCCACAAATCTTGATGACAGTGCTGTTTTGTTAATTGGTCGAATAATCTAATTTAATCCCGAAACACGAGCTTATTAACCATCCCCTATCCTCTCAAAGTCTTGCGCCCCAGTTTTGCAGATATTTCAAAGTTTCTCATAAACCTCTAAGTTATTCCCTTTTTTCATATTTCGTTCTAGGACTGACCTTGACCGAGATCATCATTGTTTCAGCCACTGGATCAGTTCTTCTGTTCGTGGCAGTGGTTTTGGGGGTCATGCTGTTTAGGAGACACAGTGAGTGGCTAAGCAGTACATAATAAAAGTGTTAATTGAGTTAAAATATTAAAAGCCCTGCTGCACACTTCTCTTGTCACACTGTTAAGTGCTTCAACACTTCCTGAGCAGACTGGCCCTTTCACAACTTCTCGTAGCCGCCGTTGTCCAATGGTACATCCAATCACAGACACCCGACTTGCTGCAACACATAAAAAAATTCCACATCCACTGGGAAGCAGCATATATTTTTTGCAACTAGAGGAGAATCATGTGCAAGGTAGAGAAAAGAAAGAATCAACCTGTTTAACAGCCGAAAGTTATGGCTTAGAAATCTTTCAAATAGATTGATATTCCAAGTGATGCTTCTTTAATCAGCCCATTTGTGTTAAGGAAAGCTCTTCAGCAAGGCCATCTGAAACTCGGAGTCCTTGGGCGTGGTTGCTGGTCGCCAGGAGATCCTACCCGCTAACCAAAGAGTGCGAGGACACTGCTTCCGGGGACGACTTCAGGAAGACTTCCTGGCCTATTCTAACATGAGGCTTTACTGAGATGTAATGGTTCCCAGAAATGAGAATAGACAGTTTATAAGCCCTCTGCACCATGACAGTCCTAGAAAACGCAGTGTTTAGATATGCGACCACAAACCTAATAGACTGCCGACAAGGTACATAGCTAATTATTATTTTGTCTTCTTTTGCCTTCAGGGGGTCGCAAATTAAAAGATCCAGACGAACATGACATAACTCCTTATGCAACAATTCACATCAGCGGAATCAGGGTTGGACAAAATATAGAGAAAAACTGTTATGGACAAGCAGGAATGTATGAAAACCCACTCATAACATTGCCTTTCTACGCGAGAATTCCCCCAAGAGACAGTCCATCGCGACTGCTACGAAAATTTCGCAACTCACCGTATGAAAATATTAACCAACTTGGAAGACCGTTCGCAAATCCCCTCGAATATTTGTTTTTCCAACCTCGATATGAAAATGAGGCTGACGATGGACCATGCGATGTTCTAATTCTTAAGCCTGGGTACGACAAGCTGAGGCCTGGTATAAGACGAAAAACGCTGGAAAATCCGGTGCCATTTAAGCGCTCGATGAGTGGCGGAGTCAATAAAAGTGGGATGCCTGTGTACGATTCTATCATACAGGATGCCTGTGGGATACCTGTGCACGATTCTGTCATACGGGAGTTCGAACTTTCGTGTCGAAAAGTTGATTCAACTGAGAACAATCTGGACGAGATTGGCACAATTCTTGAAATCGATTCCTGCGATGAATGTAGTCAGGCAGATGCAGAAGACAGTGGAGCTGAACACAGCAACGATGCGGTCTCGGTACAAGACGTTGATTTAAGATGCTTGGGTACCGATTGTGATGCGCAACCACGTCCACTCGGGTCGAGTTGTGCAAAAGAAGCGGGAACTTCGCGTTCTCAAGCTGCACTACACATGCAAGATCAAACGGGTTTATTTGGGTTTTACAACAGTAACCTTACACAGGACCATGATGCTTAAACAGGAAACGGTACTTTTGATGATGACGTAACAAAGAGCAATAGCCACGTCACCAACAGAAATACACAAATTTGTAAAATACTGAAAAAAAAAACAGCAATATTTGTAAAATATGAAAAAACGGGACCGCGAGAAAGAATAACAGGATAACTGAGTACAATGGTCCGGATTTAAAAATTATAACCACCTCTCCAGAACTGACCTTTTCAATTGATTGGTCAAACTTTACGATTTTATACACAAACCAAAGATAAATAAATTCTGCCACGTTAAAGTACTGTTGAAGAAGTTTCTTTTGTATGATCACACCATAGGATTTCAATCACAGACTCAGAAGTTAGAACCACGTACAAAACAAACTGTACCACATAAACGTACTGCTGGAGAGGTTCTATCTGAATGATCACACCTTCGATCCCATAAACGGACTTAAAAGTTAGTCACCCTTTTCTGCATAATACTCAGAAGTGCAAAGAAGGTATTCTCAGTAGCTTTATTCCAATACATTATTTCCGTAATCATGCCGCACAATTCTATTCACAGACTGATACTTCACACCGAACGTGTAGGGTCGACCACTAGAACGTAATCCTCGCTGACTATTTTTTTTTAACGGTCACAAGTTAGGGTATTAACCAGATTAGAAGTTGTAACCACAATCTACACGATGAGTTACAAGCTCAGTTTTGCTTGCTTCTTCTGAGGTTTCAAAATGTACAGAATTTTCTTCATATTGAAGACGAGTTAAAAACAATTTCACATTCCATTGAAGCTTTCATTTTACAGAAAAGATAATAAATATTTGTTTACAACCTACTGGGTTTATAGGTTTTAAATAAATAATTAATCCCAAACATACGCAATACAAGATAAGATTAGTTGCCTATAAATTATCTTGACGGTGATTGAACATCATTAAATATATACACTTTATAAAAGCGACAAAAATAAATATTTTATACAGCGACAAATTCGAACAGAGTTCCCCCTTGACTGTTACGTACAGGCAAAAGTCATGTAAAGAATATTGAACCACATTAAGGATTTTTCAAAACAAATGGGGCATTGGTTCCTCTCAGTACTTTTTTTTTGTTAACGTCAAAGAACATTCAATTACGCCTTACTTCACGGTTAAAACCTCGTTCCCAGGTCCCCTTTACCGAGCCAGCAATAGACGGATTAAAGATCTTATGAATAGCCAAACATTCACCCCCATTTTCACAATTCTATAATTGCGCAAGTGCTAAAAAATACTGAAAGCTGTAGTGAGCTACCTTAACGAAAACAATAACATGGATTTAAAGGTGACCCTTAAAGGGGCTAAATCGTCTTTCGCATCAATTGAATTTCAAAAATAATGACACAGTTTTGCTATTTTAGACTACACTTAGGCACTGAAACTATTTCCTGTCGTCTGTTGCAACGGATGGCATGGATGGACATGGATTGAAACGTGAAGAAGTTGGGCCAACGTTTTCACGCCTTCAAAAATCACCAAAAATGTTATTATAGTTAGTTCTCCCTTAACAACTCTACAAGAGCATTTTGTGTATGGGTAAAGGCACAAAGTACTGACTTCAGCGCAGAATTGACCTCAAACAGCGATATCCTCGTAACATAGCCCCTTTAAACAGCACCAGCGACAGCACCGCCGTTTTCTGAATGAGGCATCAAAACTTTTATCTGATTCTGAGTAAGCTGGGTAATGGTACGAGAGCGCTTTGCGGTGGGGGAGGGGGAGGGGGTACCCCGCCACGTCCTTACACTTCCCTTTCTAATGTTATCGGGTCGTACACAGTCCTCCTCATCCCGGACTACGCTGGACATCGGCGAGTCCAAACAAGCGGTCACCATCACTGGATGAGCGCTGAGTAACTCCAGGATTTTAACCGGTTCGGGTCGATGATCCGGGTCTTTTCTCCAGCACTCTGTCAGTAATGTGTTTCTAAAATTAAAGCAGAGAATGTCAAAGATCATGAAAGGAATAAAATTCTCAAAATGCTGCTCACTACGAGTAAGGGCATTTCAAGAAATTCCAAATTTTAAAACACACGAGAAAGATGTTATTCAGTCTGATACATCTTGACTAGTAACTAGAAGGTCATAAGTTCGACTCTTACGGGGTGTACTTGGATTTTTTCTTCCGAGCCGCCTGTGGCACGGACTGAAAAATCATCTTTCTCATGTATTCACCAGGCTTAAAATTCACCATCTCATCTCTATTACCGTGATTTGAAATACAGTTATTAGAGTGATTAGTTTCATACGTGCTGAGTTGATCTCTCACTGTTTCTTTATGTGAGTGTATGATCATACTCTATGAAACATTTAGATGAAAATAAAGACCAACCTAGTAAATAATGTGATTTTACTTTTGGCATCATTGGCAAATTTATCTATCCAAAAAATAGTGAAGGCATGAAACTTACAGTTCATTGGTGCATCCTCGAGGTTTATCTATGCTTCGCCCCAGTCTCACACTTTCCACTACCTCTCCGTTGGAAAGGCCCTGGTAAGGAAAGCTACCAAATGTCGCCAACTCCCACAATGTAACGCCCAGGCTCCACACGTCAGATTTTGTCGTGAACACACCATCCGCGAGGGACTCGGGTGCCATCCAGCGAACGGGAAGCATGGCTGTAAGTTAAAGGAGCTATAATGTCACGCTATTTACTATCTTTTTAAAAAGCTGAATAGTGTCTTCGCATCAATTGAATTCCAAAAATAATGGTCCAGTTTTGTTATTTAAGACTTAAGTAGGCACTGAAACTGTTTTCTGTAGTCTCTTGCAACGGATGGCAAGGATGAACACGGATTGGAACTTGAAAAAGTGGGGCTAACTTTTTTTAAGTTTTATTGCTATGCCTGCATTTCATAATTATGGTTAGCACTCCCTGATGAAATATGTTTGATCTCTACATCATATCTTCAAAGGAGCATTTTGTGAAAGTTTAAAACCACAAAGTCATGACTTCAGCACAAAAAGACTGAGCAATTTCTCACGACACGCAAAGCAATAGAGTAGTTTGAGCAATTTTTCGAGCGATCTTGATAATTGTCAACCCCATCGACCTGTTCAGCCCCGCCAGTGCCACAAGTCCCTTTCAGCCCCTGTCAGCCCCAACGGTCCAGTAGCCCCACAACTTCCTTCCTCCCCCGCCGCCAGCTAGCCTCCACCCAGCCCCATAGTCCAGCAAGTAGCACCTAACGAACCTGTGAAAAGAACTCAAGAAAGGATCGGATAGGTATCTCATAAAATAAGAACAAGGTAAAATGTTCACTTTACCTTTCCGTCCGAATCTGTAGTAATCTGAGTCATACATGGCTCGTGCCATTCCAAAGTCTCCAAGTTTAACCACATATCCTGAACCCACCATACAATTCCTTAAAGCAAGGTCGCTAATAAAACACAAAAGATAAAAATTACTTTTAGGTTAAGTGATGAATAATATCCTTGGAAAAACAGAGGAATTAAATGTCATTATTAAATGTCTCCATTGAACAGGCAAAGAGATCTACACAGAATAAGAGTTGTTTCGCTGCACTGGTCGACCATGTTTTTGCCAGTGCAACTCCATGGTAACAGGTTTACCGTCTTGGACGATTTTAACTGTACTGTACTGTAGGGTCGTTTCAATACATCCTATTCATACAGGGCACAAGATTTAGTATTATTTTATAGTAATGGTAATAGACCATTTCTGGTTCACCAAAAGCCTCTTTTTCAAACCAACCTTTCAATGAAAATAAGTTTTTATTCACATGCAAGTTAAACTCATTTTCATATGAATGGTTATGCACTTACTAGTTCGCAAAATACTTTGGACGAAGTAACTGAACTGTGCTCGCCTCGCAGTCGCGGCCTTGCCGCGAACCGTCAAGAATAGCCTACGTTCGATATATTAAAATTGTAACATGACTCTGAGGCTTTCTGGTCATTTTTCTTTATTTGGTTTGGTTTTCTTTGTGCTCAAGTCTCTTCCGGGAATTGCGAGACAATGGAGTCATGAAAAAATAGCAGTTTTGTCCGTAAAGCCTCGGAGTCATGTTAGAATTCTAATATATCGTACAAAGGCTATTAGGCAGGGCAAAAACCCTGTGGCACCCATGGTAATATGCACCATGCCTCAATTTGACGAAAAGGATTAGAAATGAGAAATGAACTTTAACTTAATTGGTCTCATATTAAACTAAAAAAAAATATTTTGAATTTCGCACATCCTTAAGAGGCCAGCGGGGCTTATTATAATTAGGAAAAATATAAAAGAAACAATGAATAAATAAGATCTATACATACCGATGAATAAACTTCATTTCAGCGAGGTAGGCAAGACCGTTTGTGATATCTGTCGCCATCATAGTTAGCTTGGTAGGAGTAACATCATCCGCCTGAAAGATAACAAGCTTACGTTGGATAGGAGCCTTAGTAAGACCAGGGGGAGAAGCTAGTAACCAGGTTTTGTTAGCATTAATACATCTCGGAGTGTTCCTACACACCCATCCCAACCCTAAAAGTGATGTTGTCCATTGAAGGGACACACCCAGATGTTACTCACTGGTAACCTTATTTACACCGTCCATAAAGTGCACAAGGCTATGGGTGAGACTAAACAGGACCAAACATTGACGTCAGCCATCGAATAATAGAGACTTTTAGATCCGAGGACGAGAACGAGATTTGATTCCAAGTTTTTTTTTCGCGTAGTGTAAAAAAATAGACACTCTGGAATGCTTCATTGTACTTTTTTTTCACCAAAAAAGTTAGTTATCTTTATTGGAGGAGGTTAAGCCCTCTCCCGATCGCATCTGATAACTTACTTCCGCCACTACGACATGTTCTCTCGCCAAAATGAGCTGGTTCACGCGCGAGCACTACTTACCACTGAGAAATCTCGTACTAGTTGTCGTACTCGTCTTACAATCTAATGGTCTCTAATAGAAAAGTAATAAACGACTGACGTCATGAAAAGACAGCACTTTTTGGGCAGTGCAGAGCTCGGGAAGATGGCTGTAGACATTACACGCTATACAAAGACAAAAATGGCGAACTACTACCTCAAAAACATATCCTGCGAGCAGGGGTTTCTTTCTTGCATGGCTTTTAACACTTACAAAGTCGTTTGCGTGGCTTGTCAGTCGCGTAAAAACCACCTGCTCGCAGCGTTCAAAAACATGGCAAGAGCACACAAAAGTACCATTTTAAGAATGTCAAAATACAGCTTAAAACACCTAGACGGTCGGGTAAGTTTTGACGTTTTTCAACACTAAGATTATACATAGGTACCTCTTTAGAGTTTTGGTTTGCGAATTGACGCCTTCCTAAAAGGAAGTTTTTCAAATCACCTGCAATGCAAGAAATTAGTGGAAATAAATAACAATGGAAAATGAATTAAACTCGTGTCTTATATTCTGCCTTTATCGCCCTTTACCAGTTTATTCTAGCTCTAATATTATTTTAATATAGACTGAGAAAACAGCTGACATTTAGCGACGCCACCACTTGCTTTTCTCCGCGAAATGACGTCTGAGAAATGAGCGGAGAAATTCTATACTGATGACGCATCACTATCCAGATCTAGGTGGTGCTTTTGTTCGGTTGAAGCAAATTTCCCTCGCGGCACGGCCAATCAGAAGCACTACCCAGACGTCATTTTGTGGGGAAACCAGTGATGGTGTCGCCAAATGTTGGCTCTTTTCCCAGGCTAGCTCTAATAAATATTTAGTTTAACACGGTAAACTCATTAGGATAACAAAGATAAAAAAGAGAAAAAAAGGGGTTAAAATTATTTATACAAGTTGGCGAATGGAATAATAGCCTCCCCGCAGACGCCCTTTGGGGTTCGTTCGTTCCCCCACGTGGGGGAGAAACGAATGCGTGACGAACGAACCTCAAAGGACGTCTGCGGGGAGGCTAATGGAATGACGTATTCAAATGAAAATTTTGAGAATCATTACGCTACGCGTGCAGTTGTCCTGTTTCATACCGTGTATCATTAGTTCCATGACAGCGTAGGCAGGCTCTCCCTTGGTGCAAACACCCAACAGCTTTACAATATTTTTGTGATCAAACACCTTCATAGTTTCCGCCTCACTTAAAAATTCAAGCTACAAAAAAGAACGGACACCATTGAAATAAATACCACAAGTAATCAAATACAGGCGACGGAGCATAAGGAAGTCACTTTCCGTCTCTTCAGCCTTTAAACGCCTTCTATCTCTTTAACGCCCCAGCCTGGACCCCTATACTTACATAGACGCCCCGGGCGTTTATTAGATCATTTACGGTAATTTAGCTTTTGCAAATGTGTCTCGTTTGACCGCGGAGAACAGAAGACTACATACCTTGTCTTCAGGTAAAGAACCAATTTTCAGAGACTTAACAGCCACTGGTACCCATTCTCCGTCGCCTCCGATCCCTATCACTTCACCGCCGCACACCGCACCAAAAGCTCCTTCACCAAGTTTGCGATTGAGGACGATGCTCTCGCGGGGGATCTCCCACTCGTCCAAGCGTAAAACTGGCGAGTGTTCCATCAAGCCTAACTCCTCCATACGCTGTTGGGTTTCCCTATACTTACTATCATATCTAGGAAACAGAAAGTTGGTGATCTTATGTGAGCCACGATGAAATGACAATGAGAACAACGCGGAACAGGGCGGAATGGCTAATAGTTTTCACTGCTGAAGTTTGTGGGTGAGATGCCATTGCGGCACCATTCAAATGAACACTCTTCGGCAGAACTTTCACATTGTTCTAATTGTTTTGTACAGTCTTTCCAACTGTTGAGTGTGTGGACCAAGTTCCGTGGTGTGACCATTCAAATGAACTCTGTTTGGTAATGCTTTCACATAGTACTATTAATTTCGGTCTTCAGTAGTTTACGTTTGTATTTTTCCTGAATTTTGATTTTTGTCCACCATGCAATTGAGCCAAAGGGTTGAGTAAGCGATACAAAGACTCTTCAATCTATGGAGTGGAAACCACTGCAGAAAGATGGGTGAATGAAACAGAAACACACCAAACAGGATGGTAAAGACAGCAGTCATTTGAGCATATTCACCAGATTCAGGAGGAACCCACCGTTTTGAAGTTTACATATGTTTTTCGTTCTATTCATGACATAAAAAGAGACATACAAGCTTCCTCTACCTTCTCTTTATGCAGATCCAAATAAGAGTTATGATGACAATTAGAAAGAACCCAATAACTGTGAGAATGAAAACAAATAAAATCTAAACATTTTTTTATAACACGTAAAATACAAAAAAAGAAGTAAGAGCTGTTCTTTTATTTAGCTATGAATCAACCCGCATTAATTTTATCCGCTAGTTAGCCTGCGAGCGGTGGTTTCTCCCTTTGTAGTGTAGTGTCTACAGGGGCACCCAACGAGAATATAGTTCAAAACCACTTAAACATAGAATTGTTAAACGTATTTTAGTATTTAAACGGTAGATATAGGCATATTTTTATCCCCTAAAAATTTTTCGTCTGTTCGGATTTCCTAGCTGAAAGTCAAGTGATCCGAAAATTATAGGGATCAAAACTTACCTTTTCGGAAATTTTAGCCAGAAAAAAGGCTCCCGAAAATTCTAGGTGACCTTTTTAGGGTAAAATCCGTTAAAAATAGGCAATTATACCATTTTTTAGATGTCCGAAAATCCTAGGAGAGGCAGGCAAGCAAGAAATTTTACAACAAATGTTCCGAAAATTCTAGATCTCAAATCGTCTTCCGAACAGATATTTTTCCGAAAATTGTCGTTGGGTGCCCTTGTGTCTAGCCTGGAGAAACCGCTGCTCATAAGGGTATCCTCCAGTTTACACTCATGCACATCTGTTTAAGGATACATAACAAATTCTCAATGCTTTCAGTGAAATCCTGGTGGAAAGAAAGAATTTGGGAGACAAGAAAGTGAAGAGCATGCTACGGAGGTGAAGTGAGGCAAGGTGTGCCCACCCTAATCTTGCCCACCCATCCCCTTCTTGCTCTCGTCTTCCTTTTAAATGCCTGCCCAGGGCTGCCATTAAGTTTTGAAACAGCTGTAGCAAATGAAGATTCACCCGTAACATCTCACAAAAATTTACAGTGTCATCTATAAGCTTTCCACTTTGATCACCCATAACATCATGCGAGCTCACAGTCATAACAAGTGTTACGGGTTATGACCCTTAATGACAGCTCTGCCTCCCCTGCATTGCACTTTAAGTGATATGGAAAGCAACTAATGTTTAAGAACACACCTGTCCCAGGCAAAAGGGTGAGAGTTATTACCTATTGCATTGATGGCAGCTATTGCTCCAGTGCATGAAATACCAAGAGCAGCTCTGAATGACTCTACAGAACACAATTCATGGGTAGAAGGCTCTGCCAAAGAACAAAGATATTAAATTGCAAAGCAGTCATATTCATCAGAAAACTACTGTTGAAAGCAAATAAAAATTTGTAAATACTTTACAGGGATTCAAAAACCAAGACCATGACTAGCTCAAGTTACATCCATTAGTTTGGACTTCCTGTGCAGACATGGCTACTTTGGGTGCCCTGTACAAAGGTATTAAATTGCAAAGCAGTCATATTCAACAGAAAACTACGGTTGAAAGCAAATAAACATTAATTTTGTAAATACTTTACAGAGGTTCAAAAACCAAGACCATGACTAGTTCAAGTTACATCCATTAATTTGGACTTCCTGTGCAGACATGGCTACTTGGGCACCCTGTACAAGTATCCCTTGGCCTTTATGCTCCAAGAGTTTGTTGGGTTGGAATAAAAAAATGTACTTGACTAAATCAGCAAACAGATTATAAAGAATATAAAGAATACCCACGCCAAGTGGATTCACTAGATAAACTCCAAATCTAGGTGTTTTGGATTTATGATCAGCAAGTTTACGGGTATAGCAAAAACTACACATGACAAAGCACCTGGTTAAGCCAACTTTAAGCAGACAAATGCAACAGAGTAACAGAATTTACCTGATCTACCATCAGAAGGCCTGCCTCCTGCTGGCCAGTGGATGATAGTCTCATTCACTGTTAAACAGTTCCTGCTTTTATCACACACACCATCTAGATTAGGGTGCACACAGCCTACTCTCACCACCCTGCTAGGGAAGTGCTGTCTTATCTCAATAGTAGGTAGGTATCTCTCTCCATCTCTAAACTGAACACGACCAGACACGCCAGTGAAGTTGGTCTCTTGGAGGAAGTTTTTCAGGAGCCTATAAAGTAACAAACAGTTATCCTAATAGATTGAACATACAGTCGAACCTGTATTAAGCGACACCATATTAAGCAGTCACCCTCTATTAAGCGGTCAGTTTTCAAAGTCCCAAAAATTACTTCTCCTGATGTACTGTAATTTTGACCACTATTAAGTGGTCGCGGTCACCATTTGCGAAGTCCCAACAAGACTTTTTCTATTGTCTTAACCTGTATTAAACAGTCACATGGTGTTCATACAGTTTCAAATAATGTAACACATGAGGTACAACAATATGGATTTCCTTGTTTATTTTCGCAAACTATTAAAATGCTGAAAATGAATGTTTCTTTTTGAGGTCAAGTGTCTGTTCTGATCAGCACTGGAGATCTAGTTCTTTCAACTGTATTTCTTGCAACCTGCATTAGACCGTCACCCTGTATTAAGTGGTCACTTAGCCATTCCCCGAGGGTGACCGCTTAATACAGGTTCGACAGTACATAAACATTTTAACTGCCATGTTAACTTGTACTAAAACTTAAGAAAATTTCATTTCATGCATGAGAAAAAAAAACTAACACACAGTGAATACATGTATAGCCAAAAAGCTCATTTAGGCCTGCATTTTTAGTGCCATCATGCAGTGGAAAAAGCTGCCTGATGACAATAAAAACAGCTGTGAGGAAAACTAGTTTAATTTAAGGTGACAAAACATTAATGATTGACATAGCTGAAAGAAAAAAGAGAGAATTTACCATGTGGCACTTACTGAGCTGTGTAATTAGTTCTTATTGTATCCAGTCCCAAAGGATATGTCCTGAAGAGTTTATCCAGGGCAACTGCATATGCCCAAACACCATCATACACAAAACTGGCATATTCTGATGGAGTGTGGTTCTAAAAGATTATTAATGACATCATTTCTTTGGTTAGCAGCTAAAGAGGTGACAAACCATAACCAAACATCTGAGACAACTGGTGAAAACACAACTTTAAATGTGACATATCTCATGGTACAAAAATCAATCCACTTTCATAAGTCAAACACACTATTAACAAACAAGTTTTAACTTGAACAGATACCCCACCCTAAACAAGCACCTTACCCCCCCCCCCCTCCAGGAGGGGGTACTCCCTATGATGGCTATACAGGCAGGCTCCGCCCGAAAGGAGGAAGGGGGTACCTTTTTCAGGCTTCAGGTATATGAAAGGGTAGGGATTTCACTAGCTAGTTGAAGTATATAAAAGGGAAGGGAAATCTGTCATTTGGGTCTGTCAAAGTGCCCAAAAGGGCTAACAGATGAATTTTACGGCTTTAAAAAGTCTAGAAAACATTCTGTTTTTGTGATTGATTCCTATTTAAAAGACAGTTCACTTACAGTAGTTAAAAGGAATGTAGAGTTCTAAACAAGGTATGTGAAAGGAGTACCATTGGTCAATAGAAGGTATACGAAAGGGGTACCTTTTTCATGAAAAATGGTATATAAAAGGGTTAGGGGTTGGACCTAGGGGTGGGACCTCCCCGTATAAACATTTGTAGAGTACCTCCCAGGCCTTTACCATATGTACACAACAGCTGACCATTCACTATTTTATAACTTCAAACTTAAGGAGTTTAACAAGTGTTGAAGAAAAAGACTGTCTAGCAAAATCGAAAAAGTGATTTATGGTACAGGCATGAACACAGGCTGCAAGACATAAATCCATAGGTAATGTTGCAGCAGTTCAGAAGTGATAATCAAAACACAAAAGTGGATAGAATCACCTCTTTCTTGACTCTCACTTCATATTCCTGTTTCCACTGATGCACAGTGCCTCCACCCACAATAGTATCCAAATCATTGCCAAAAAAAGCATTAGAGAGTGAAAAATAACCTCCGTCAAGAAAATCTTGCATGTCTCTAGTAGAGCAGGGTACATCAAGCATCCCTTCAGTTGAGTGACCATGGATCTTGTAATCATCAACATGCCACCAACTATCTGCCAGCCAAGATGGCAAAAACCACACATAGCCATTCTGTGGAGTGAGTCCCTGTAAAAAGATGTATAACAATTTATTATATTTGGGTACAGTACACTGTTGAGGTAAGGTTTGAGGGGGCACATGAGGCATACATTCAGTGACACATGACCAGAGTGGTTTTTCAGTTCCAGCAGCATGAAACAGAAAAATGCCCTTTTTTGAGTGTCAATGTATTTCAAACAGAAGTACTAATAAAATGAGGACACTATTTTACGTCTCCCTCTGGAGATGGGACTACCATTATTCATGGACATCTGAGCCATGCAAGGGTCTAGCCATTTGCAGGGCAAAGGAAGTACCTATTTAAGGACCCTGATTATTGGTCTGACACCAGGAATTGAACCTGTGACCTCCTACTCTGCAGTCAAACACTCTACTGACTGAGCTAATCCTGCTGTGGTCAAAAGTATAGCTAATTTCCTATGGATATGATACTAGTCCATCATGGGGTTACACAAGCAAGTTCTGTGCCAGTAGCCATTTCTACACCTTGCTGGAGAGAGATAAAAAAAAAGGAATAATTCTTGTTTGAGGAAAAAGGAGGTGATGCCAATGCTGACGCTCAACCCACACCTTGAAAAGTTAGTGACATTTGACCACACGGAGGATCAATGCCTGCACGATATTTGAAACTAAGAATTATACCAAGTATAAAATATAACTTGGTCACTTCATAAAAAATCAACCAAACCCATTGCACAGTTTTAATACCAAAAAAGACAGTGAAAAGATAACAGAACAAATTAGGCCCAGTTCATTCATCAAGCTATTTATCTAATAAGGTAGGGCAGAAGCAGGAGGTCAGAATTAAAGTTTTGAATTTAGTTCAGCAAAGCACTTAAGATCAACAAGGTCTGCCGTACTACATCACTCTGGCGCGGCAATGATTTGTGTCAAACTAAATTCATAAATTTTGGAAATGTGTTGTCGGATATGTGTACATAATTTTTTCTTCTTCACTGCTGATTTGATACTACGTGCTTCTAACATGCATCTGTTGAACCCAATTAGAAAAGAGCTTAGCACAGCACAAGCACAATGTATGAACTGGGCCTTATGTGACAATCTATCAGGCAAATTTCAAAGTACCGTTGTGCAGTTAATTACCTGTTTATAAGCTTCACACACCACAGCTCTAGCAAGTCCTTCGAAAAGAGTTGCAATAATAATCTTTGCAGAGCTCTCTTGCAGTGACCTTAGGTATGTCTTAATATCCACAGTGTCCTGATTTGTAATCTGTCTCGAATATACCAAGCTTATCCCCATGCTTTCTAAATACTGATGAGTTGCAGTAGCAGTTGAAGAAACATAGTTTGTATCGGTCAGTGAAGCATATTGCTTCCATTCAAAGTATTCAAATACAGTTGCATAGGCATACTTAAATTCAGCATAACTTGGAGATGTTCTGAAAAACATGGGGAATTTTTCACGATCTGCTAAAGCCACACCTTCGACACTATAGCCCATGACAATGGTGTTGTACAGAGGTGCAGTTTCAGCGATTATCTCAGTTTGAACAGAACAAGCAGGTCCGATGATACCTGCTATTGACTTGTTGTGTGATCGGGACATAAAATCAATGAATGCATTAAGAACAAGAGAAGTTTTGCACTGGGTGTCTTCTATGAGAAGTTCCAAACTGTAATTTGTAAGGATCCTGTCATCCTGGTTGATTCTCTCTAAAGCCATCAGAGCACCTGTTTTTCAACAAAAATAAAACCATGTTAATGGGCAAGCACTACACATCTTGGACAAAACCATTTCACTCATAGCCAACATGGTGGGATAATTTGTCACAAAAATTTGGACAAAATCCTACACCTATACTGTGACACCATTTAAATGCTTCATAGGATTTTATTAGAAAAAAAAAAAGCAGGCAACGTTCCTACTGAAAAACAAAAAACATCCATGGGGAAAGAACAACAGGATGGAAGAAACTGGTTGAAAGAAACTTCATGGCAGGAATTAATTTTTAAACGCTGCACAAAGGAAACTGAACACACCACTGAATCATGCGATGGGCATGCACATACCAACAGACCACAGACTACTTGCACTGATATGGCTGTCTCGGTTGTTAACCCTTTAAGCCCCAATATCCACATACAAATTCTCTAAACTGATGTCCATACATCTCCTTTAACAATTAGTTGAGAGAATTTGATAAAAGATCAAAGCATTTTCTCTATGGTGATCATTTTATTAACTCTCATAACTTTATCTCTTGACAGTGTATGGATATTGTTAGGAGAAAATTGTTGTTGGTCACTATTGGCACTTAAAGGGTTAATTCTTAAATGCATTAGGAGTAAAGAGAATGGAAAACTGCAGTCTTACTGTAGTCTGTGGAAAAAAAATACCATACCTTGCAAGATTCCAGGTCTACTCCAGACAACATCCTCACTCTCTGACAAGGGGAACATCCCTCCCAGATAAACTGGGACTTTACTTAGGCTACCAGTGGGTAACCACGGCAACCACATATCTCTGGACTGCTGTAACCAATTGCAAGCAATTTCTTGGCTTGTTAAATTACCACCACCTTCAATGTGCTTCTGAAGTAGATTGTTAAGTGTTTCTTTATCAAAATACAGTTTTGACAACAAGAAGTAAACATCTGGTGCATTTTCTTGGATTTTTCTCCAGGCCATTTTCATAAGGTGACTTGGTGGAAAATCGCAGTTGTAATAATTATCCTGCGGAGACTCCAAAGCCTTGGTCAAGGATACACCAGCACTGACAGGAATATAATAAATATATGAATTCAGGAGATAAAAAAGCAAGACCAACGGTGTAATGTTTAAGTTTACTATTAAACAATAAGTTAAGATTAGGCTGAAAGGTCCTGAAGATGAATATCTAGTGGAAAATGTTTGTTTTCATTTTTTCTTTTACAATTTTGATAGCCTTGCTAAGAAGTATCTTTAAAATTTCCCTTCCTACCTGCAAGGGGGAAAATGTATTCTTGTCATCTTTGTTCTGGGTGCAGTATTTGGCTGCCAGTTTAATAGCAAGTATGGTGTTGCTTCAATTCCATTGAGAACATGACTTAATTTGGAGCCTAACCACGCTACTGAGATATTCAAACCAAGGCTACTGATCTGTTGGCTGATCACATGTCCGTAATGGTCTACGATCAAAATAAGTTTTCACAACAAATTACTGAGATGCTATCCTTTTAAAATGTTATTTAATATGCTATCTAAATTTGACTATTCAAAAATGCCCTCATCAGATAAAGTCTTCAAGTGCACGTAAAGCCCTGAAAAGAAGGAAACAAGCAGGAAATATAAAAATACTCCAGGTGACATCAAGCTTGAAGGTAGTATGGGTCCTTCAAACCACAAGGGTGAATGACTCTCACAAAATGTATGTTTAAATACATTCATGAAGTACACTTATTTAGAAGACGCAGGCCTAAAAACAGAACCGGTTTTTTTTTTTTTTTTACACTATTTACATTATTATATTTTATTTTTTGCAAAAGTAGTCTAGAAAATTGTTGTTATGAATGGAAACATAATTATTAAATTCTTTAATAGCAGAGTTCATGTTTCCACACTCTAACCTGTGGCAGAGAACCTTCACACAGTGTATCTAAAAAGATTAAAGTTCCTCTGCTTGCAGGGTGAGTTTCCTCTTGACATACAACTAATTATTATTTCCAGATTAGCACATTCCAACACTGGGAATTCTGTTTGTAAGACTATTACTTCTTTTAAGTCTCAGTGATCATATTGTCCATAATTGTAGCTAAAGACACTAGGTTAGATCTCACAGGGTAAGATGTATAACCAATCAAAGCACAGGACTTCGGTAGAACGATCAAAACACAGCAATCAAAAACCAGCATATTTCAGAAAACATTAATAATAAATTTCAACTCTAGCAGAGGAAGAGAGGCAAAAAATGTAGCATAAAGGGCAATTCGCACATAAAGTAAAGCAAAGATAGACCTGGAAAATCAGCGAAAAGAACTGCACAGTGCAGTGTGTTATCACCATCGTGGCACTTGGGACCATAATACCAGCCATTTCTACAGCCAACAACATTTTCACAAGATTCTTTATGATTTGACATATTCACTTGAGAAATAAGCGTTGAAGCATTGTGCAATAAGTGTCCTAAAACAGTCTGCAATGTTAATGCCCTCCAATCATCTGCTATGATTCTGCTATCATTCCAGAGTTGTTCCTCAAGTTCTGTTGGTATATACCACCCAAATCTGCAAGTGTGAAGGGGTACAAATTTGATTAAAATGCTTTGCTTAACGTATTGTCTTTCACAGTCTACATCATGGCAGGCACAAATGGGGAGAGGGAGGGGGGAAATGCAAAAGGGAAAAAGGAAAGGGAGAAACTGCAGTCTCCTTTCTCCCTGATCCCCCTCCTTTTCCCTTAATCCCTCCCCCCTCCCCCTCCCACACACACACACACACCTCATGCACTCAACACTTATTGATCCTAGTGTACGTAGGGTACTGCATGCATGATGAACCCAATTCACCAACAAAGGTTCTTCTAGGCTCAAGACGTTACGGTACCCACTGGTATTCTGAAAGGACATTGTTTTGAAACCCTCAGGGAGACAGATTTTGGTTTTGTCTTACAACCTTCTCCTAAATGTTATCCTTGGTCCAGTTTTGCATCTCACCTTCCATGTGGAGAGATGATTCCAGCCTTGTCTACCAACTGACTGTCTACCCAGTTGTAGTATTGATAATCAGATGGCACCCACACTTCCGTATTGATCATAACTTCTGGAATGCTGCTTACGTGACAGCTGAACAAGTCAAGAGAAGAAAGAATAATTAATTCAGCTGTAATCAAAACTACCAACATACGTTTTGATAGATCTATCAAAAAATAAAGTAGGGGTTAATGTATATTTATATAATGATAATGGTCTCTTGAGATTCAATATTAAGAAAAGGGTACCATATTATTAAAGAGGTAGAGGGGTGGGTCACTGCTTTGTATGGAATAAAAACTTTTTCCTAGTAACTAAGATACAAATTTGATGTAAAAATATATACTTGTGGCTTGAGCATCCTGTAAGCTTTTGAACAACTTTCTTCACTGACAGTCCTGAGTCATCAGGTACAAGTATAATATCTTCATATCCAAGGACTTCCTCTAACAGTAAACGCAGCACATGAGTTGAGATCTGTTGAGAGGCACGTCTACTGTAGCTGAGTTTTAAGGGTACCAAAGTAATAGAATCACTATAGAGCTTGAAGTGACGCTTTGCACTATGTCCTAGAAAAAATGTAACATTCAAGTTTAATTTGAAGCATACAAATAGCTATAGTAATGGTGCTTTATCACAGAAAAAAGTACGTAAGATGATACACTAGCAATTTAATTTACAGAAAAACACCTGCCATCCGTTGGTACTAAGCACGTTTGTTACACCTGATTCCCTATTGTATTCACCTGTAAAAAAGCATGCCGCTTTCCGTTTCAGTTTCTCAAAAGACAAAATGTCACCGTTCTCATAAAGGTCCCATATATTACACGTATTGCACTACAATATTCAAGCGGTGGTCTCACTAACGTCTTATAAGAAATGTCACCAGAATAGAGAATAATGTAACAAATATAATTAGTAAAATCTAACTAGTAGTCTATTATCAATGCTACGTTCTGATTGGTTAAGCTACTACTAGGCTATATGCGCGGGCTTTTTGGCAGCAAAAAAGATTAAAGTCTAGCTTTAACTAGCTAAAATTTTTTTACTCTCGATATTTTTGACTAACTAGTTAGATTTTACTAAAACAATAATTATTCCTCTCACCCTCATGGCCTCTGAGTCAATAGCCCATAAGGCCGAAGGCCAAATGGCCTATTGACTTAGAGGCCATGAGGGCGAGAGGAATAATTGTTAAATAATCATTTGTTCAATAATGTAACAAAAAATTTACATGTATTTAAAATGTAGATTTACCAAAGGAGGTTACTTAACCTTTTCACTGCCAGAGTGTTTGATAGAGTTTTGCGAGGTAACTCTAACTTTTGAGTTTGCGGACAAAATCTTACAATATGACCATTCAAATGAAAACTCTCTGCCTGTACTTTCACATGACACTATTTGTTTGTCAAAATTTTAGACAATGAAATTTGGAAATTTGGTCGAAATTTGCCTTTGGCCACATTTGGCAGTGAAAGGGTTAATTGTATCGATAACCCCCTCCCCCCCCCCAAAAAAAAAATGTAATATAAGAATAATAATAATTCAGGCAGCTCAGGGTGCAAAGTGAATTCAGTTTGTACTAAAATGACCTGTATTGAATTGAACAGTTTCCATTGTATTTTACATTTTTATGGCAAGTGCATTACAGGGTGGATTTCACGTCTCCTTCGTTGATCCACATTTGCATTTAGATTCTTTAATGGATCTTGAGTAAACATGTAGCACGTCTTATGTATGCAGTGCCTGTCTGCTGTCGGTATTGAATTACAGATATGACAGGTATGAATACAAAGTTGCAGGTGTGATTATTTTGTGCAGTGGATATTAAAAAGCTCAGAAAATGGCCATTTTCCCTTAGCCTTAAAGCTCGATTTAAAACGTTCACTGGGTTTAACGTACGCACAAACAAAGCACAAGGTCACAACAATCGAAAAAATAACGTAAAGTTCCCGACCTACACCGACTAAGACATTTGCATCGTAGCTTACATGTACATGTAACTTAGGCTGCTTGCTAATGCCAGCTAGTGCATTATTTGACCCACCTGTAAAATTGTCTTTGAAACACTTTTCAGCGGCCGAGGAAACTTCCGTTGTTATGAGCAAAAACAGAAGGCTCCAGGGCATCATTTTGCTTCACCCATAGCTGTGAAATGTTGCTCTTATTCTCTAGCAGAACTTGATCGATGCAGCTGTACAAATGCCTGGACCCACGCGGGAACCGCCGGAACGATGATCGAAGGACTTTGTTTTGATGAGTCAAGAGACTGGAACTAATGTGATCTTTTCCAGTCAGGCGGGTGGGGTAGAAGTCATTTTTAAAATAGTTTGCCTTGGTTAAATGACCGTCGCTTGAATATTTTTACAAATGTATGAAAAATCAAAAGCTACCTGAACACCACAATATTTTCTAGAAGACTTTGTTAAATGTGAAGGGTTAACAACAAACAAAGAACATCGTCGTTATCCCTACCCTCCCTACCCATCTACCTACAGAATGTACCTCAATTGAAAAAAAGGCCAGGATACTGAGCTTTCACGTGTTTCAATATGGCGGTCGTGGTAGCGAGATTTCTCAGTTTTATTTCATTTTGAGGATTTGAAAGAGTTAGGGAACTAGGATGACAAGAAAAAAAGATAAGAAAGAAGGCAAAGTAACATCGGCGCTTGATGAGCAAACTCTTGGTTACTTCAAAAGAGTGGATGATGTAATCAAAGATGACGATTTTGACGACGAGGAGGGTCGAAAACTGTTCATTGAAAACGTCTTTACGCAAATAGAGAACAACGAAATCAAACTCTTCTGCGATCAACTGATAAGTAGAACTTTAGAAAAACTTATCATTTATTTCAGCGATACCCAAATCCGTAAGGTCTTGCAAAACGTGGAGGATCATTTCTGTAAACTTGCGATGGATAAATTCGGCAGCCATGTCTTACAAACTCTGATTTGTGTCATACCGAAAACGATAAGATCGGAACGCAGTAAAATAAGGGAAGTTGCACAGGAATTTAAAGACTTGAAAGGTGCAGAGCAGTTGTTTTTGGATCTCTGTGACTCCTTCAAAGAAAATCTTTCCGAACTTGTGAACCATATTTATGGAAGCCATGTTGTTCGAGCAGCTATTGAAGTGCTTGGTGGAGTAAAAGTTTCAGACAATGTTGTTCGTAGCCGAGCGTCTCGACAAAGTAGGGAAAGAGATAGTCATTCAGATGCGAAAAAGCCATTTATCAAGCTAAATCAAGGTAATGCGAAGAAAATTGTTTATAATGTCCTGCCGTACCAGCCTATGAACAGGCTGTCTGGCTAGCGGATGATAAAGGGAGAAGGGGAGAAACCACAAGGATGGAAGGGGAGAGCATATATGGTTTACAGTCACATAGTTCCATGGTCAGATTGTTCCAAGCCAGATGGTTCCATTTTATAGTCAGATCTTTCCACAGTTTCAGTGTAAAACTGTATGTGAAGCGCCTTTTTGGGCTTCTTGGCTTAAAGAACAAGGTATACACATGATTAATGCTCTTGTTTCTGCTCGTGGCTTAAAGACTCATGAAAATTTCTGATTACATTGTGGAAAGAGCTGCATATCAAGTGGAACTATCTATCTTGGAATGATCTCACCATGAAACGAAGTGACCAGATACCACATATTCAGTCACTGCTAGAGGTCTAACCATAAAAATGTTTCTTTTAATCATTCATTCATTGCAGCTCCTTTCCTTACCCCAACTTTCCCACAATCCACTTTCCTTGCCTCCCCTAACTGGAACACCTGTTGTCAGACTATGTAATACTACAGGAACATCTTCCAAAATTAAAATTCAGAGAAGTGTATCTGCCATTCCATCAGTCAGTGGTTTAGCTGTGTTTTCATTCTATTTTCCAGTGGGAAATGCCTTTGGAAGTGACACTATCAAACCCATGGAGACCATTGCTGTTCCAGACAGTTTTTACCCCATTTTGAAACAGTTTACCAAGGGTATTATCAAGATGGATCTGCAGAAGTTGGTTCTTCACCCTATTAGCAACCCTCTGTTGCAGACATTGTTGTTAGTCCTTCATATGAAGGATCAGTCATTATGTATGAAGCTGTGTAAGGCAGTCATGTCACAAATTGATATGCTTAAGAACAAAACGGATACAAGAAAACCAAACACTGATGACGATCATCAAAATACAAAGGATAAAAGGTACACTGTACATGTACATAGTGTGTCATACTGCGTACCTCACTAAAGGAAATTATCGCTTCTTGAAATTAAACACAATATTCAAGAATTCTCGTTAATTTAATTAGTTGCATTAATTTTTGTAAACATTAGATTCTTTGCCATTAATTAAGACTAAAATTTAGTGAAGCAGTTATTTCTGCGACCTTTATATCCAGTATGTTGGCCCCAAATTCTCAATACACTCCTGACATTCTTAACACCTACATGTAAGAAAGAGGAATGTTTTTTATTAGGGTTAAGATTTAGAATTGTTCAGTGAAACTGTGAAGAACATTCACAGAGTTGTAGCTAGTGGGGAGGCAGGGGGGCAGGTTTCATCATGCAGTATTGTGAAATGTTTAGTGTACTTATAAAGTGCTTGGATATATGGTGTGTTTCAAATTAACAGGACCTCGGAAATAAAATTTGTAGATGAAACCCCATGGTGTTACCATTTGAATGAAACTTATTCAGCTGTAATTTTACCCAATACCATCATGTTGATTTTTCAGCATTTTTTTTGTCAAATTTTGACATTGGTCTCTTCTGTTAGGAAGGGTTTAACTGTAAATACTCCGCTCTGCTGAATTTGTGGGAAAAAGTCAATGAATTATTCCGTGATGCATGTAGTCTCACTTCCATTTCTTTTATTTTCAGTGACTACAGAGTTCCTGTTCTCCTTTCCAATGAGATCAGCAGTCACATGATTGAAAAGATTCTACATGTGATCACACCTGACCTTTGGCAGGAGATTTTCGAGACGTACTTCAGTCCACACCTGCCTCAGCTGGCCCAGCACCCCATTGCTAACTTTATTGTGCAGCATCTCATGGCTAGTGCTAGAGAAAAATTACATGTAGGTTGTTAACACTTTCACGGACATAAATTATGAAGTTTGACAAGCGAGTGGGTCATAACATTGATTTTATGGCAAATTAATCAACTGACTCCCTCCCCCCACCCGCTTACTATAGCAGCACAAGTCAAGAGTTCATAATAGGCCAGAGAGTGAGTCTAAGGGTGTTGGATGGGACATTTTAATTACAAAAAAGTTATTTTTTAGAAACTTAGTGGATCACGTGGAAACAGTTTCTGTTGAACTGGTTGACTTTCAGAACACTTGCTTGCATGATTCAGTGCACCAAGGCAAGGCAGAGTCAAGAAATTAAAAAATGGTGGCCTAAATGGAGGGATGATATGGAGGGACTTTGATCTGGTAAAACTGTCCCATTTCCACATAGCTTCTAAAAATAACTTTTTTGAAATTAGGATATCCCAAGGCATGATTATCCAAGCCCTATTATGTTTTGTTGTGCAAGTGTAATGACTTGACAATGACAGGAAGCTGGTTAATCCCAAAGGCTTTGCAAAGCTATGCATCCACTCCAAATTGTTTGAAAACAGAAGATGGTCTGCAGGTATTATCGCATTTTTAAATATGATTAAAGTGCATTGAAGGCTTAATTCGAGTCCTAATGCTCATTGTTCTAGGAGCTACTTTGGGGGGTTTTCTCTGGGTGAATACCTCATTTTTCTCCCCTGAATATACACTATCATTTTCAGATTCCAATTCAGTTAGGAATTTTATAACCTGTGAAATAGCCATCTCTCCTCCCTCCTGGCAAAACAACCCTAGTGGCAAGGAGCGAGGAGAAACGGCTGTTTTTGCAGGCTTGGAATTTTAGGATCAGATGTTTATCATTGAAAAACATATGTAATATGTACTTCCATTATAAAATATAATCAATTTTTTTTGTTTGAACTAATTTTTGTCTGTTCTTCATTTTAGGCAAAGCAAATAATTGCAGAGTTACTCCCTTATTTAGAAGATCTCCTTGCTCAGGGGCATATGGGTGTTGTGGTGAGAATGGCAGAGACTGCAGTCCGTTTTTCAGTAAAACAGAAGAAGATCTTAAAAGCTCTGTTGCAGGCCTTCCACTGTCAAGAAAAAGATGAGCAATTGAGCGCTGTTGTTCTGATATCATCATTAACAACCTACGATATTTTCTTTGGAACAAAAGAAAATGGAAAAGAAGATGGTGATGAAAGCAGAAACACTTCAGAGGTAAGCTAGGAATCAAAGAATGAAACACGATGAATACCTTTTTATTATCCATCATCTTACCGTACAATTCCGAAAATAAGCCCCTCCATGTATAAGCCCCCCCAACCGGTAACGCAAAAAACCCTCCGTTAAATCGCCCCTCCAAATATAAGCCCCCTGGGGGCTTGTACTTGGAAAATTGCCCTCAAATACAAAGTAAAACAAGGCAAAAACGGTAAGTTTACCTCCAACTATAAGGCTAGCCCAATCGATTTTGAAACGCAAATTTCCTTCCATAGATAAGCCCCTTCGAATGTAAGCCCCTCCAAAAATAAGCCCCTCAAAAAGGGCCTTGGAAAAATAAAAGTCCGGGGGCTTATTTTCGGAATTTGACGGTATTTTCGCAACTTTTCAGTTAGTTTAACATGCGGTTTTCCCTCAGTTTGGTTGCTATTCCCTGTTTTATAGGACTGTTACATTTCTTGTGGTATTTCATAATTTTTGTTAGAACATCCAAATTAGCGGTTACCGTTTTGATGGGACAAGACAAGACCATGGTCAGCGGGGGGATAGCCAGCCAAGTTTTTCTTTTTTCAACCCGAGTTGTAGAAGTCCTCAAAGAGCGGGCGAAGGGGTGGGTGGTTGAGGACATAGTAGGACGCCAAGTTAACGGTGACAGATAAACAATTACAGCACAAAATCATCTTTCTGAAGTCACAGTGGACACTGACATGGTGAGGAGAAAAATGAACACAGTGGCGACTTTTTCAGTTGTAAGGTCTTCAACTATTTTGAAATAACGTTTTTAGTAATAACATTTGTAGGCAACAATCACGTCGCTCGTGGCGCCAATACCGTTTTGTGCTACAGAGAAAAAAAATTAATAATTGTGTCTTCATAAAAATCCTAAAAAATATTAACTGAATAGACATAAATTTTAAACCCTCTCTTCAATCACAGCTGATCTATTGTTCATTTTAAGCAAAAGCCGACTGCCAGTGGCAAACTGAAATCTGTGAATTACCATGGAGCCATGTTATTGAAAGTCTTGTTTGACTTTCAAAAGCCATCCAAGTTGGTCAAGAGTTTGCTCTCCCTGAGTCTGGAAGAAGTCTTGATCCTTGCTAATGATCCTATGGGCTCCCATGCGGTTGAGGCGTTTCTAAAGAGCAGATCTGTACCGTCTGATGACAAGAACATACTTATTCAAAAGTTACAGGTAACTTCAACTTATGCCTTCCCTGGGTAACAGAGGGGTACTTTGATGCGTCGGTGTCGGCCACAGCCCGACACATCTGCGGCCGAAGACCGAAATCACGAGTAACCTGCGACCAGGCGTTTTTTATTTTCGGGGAAAGGGAAAAAAAAAGAACGCGTCCTTTTCCCCTCGTCTCCCAAACATAGAGGGAAGAAGGACACTTGATCGCAGGTTAAGTCACGTGCGGCGAAGTCGCGAGAAAAAACTTCGCTTTTCGTGCGGGTCACTATAACGGCTTAGTCATAACGACTTGACCGAAACCGGAAACCGCGCATGAAAAGTCTCTGGCACCCAGGGTAACTTATGCTTGCTGTTTTTTGTCATGTTGAAAAAGAAAATCTATACCAAACAATTCAAGCGTCTTCCCTGTCTTTGAAAAATAAATCAAGTTCTTTGTCTCTTTGGTCGAGCTTGTGATGTCTTCTCTTTGGCTTCCTTGTTTATAAGCATTTCGCATTTTAACAGAATTCCCGTCGTTTCGCCCGATAGTCGCATCGCCCGATGGCGTCTCGCCCCGGCTTAAGTCGATTAGCCCGAGGAGATAAAACACTCCAAAACACGGTGAACATACTTGTCAGATATGGCTTTTTTTATTGAGGTTGGATTCCACATGTGCAGTCACTGTCTTTTTACGCTTATTCGTTTTTTGGCCAAAGAACGACAAAAACATATCGGGCAAATCGACTTACGTCCGGGCGAAATGACGTGGGGCGAATCGACCTTCGGGGTAAACAACCTTCTAACTGGTTTATTTGACTATATACATCTACCGTGATTGCCTTTTTTCAGGGGGTCTTTTTAAAGCTTGCCTGCGAGAAACAAGGCAGTCGTGTGGTTGAAACATGCTGGAGACAGGCGGAAGTGAAATTCAAGGAAGCGATTACCCGTGAACTAGCTGACAACGAACATCAGCTGAAAGACAACTTTTACGGCAAATTTGTGTTAAGAAATTGCGGCGTTGAGCACTTTAAAAGAAAGGACAAGACTTGGCATGAAAGGGAGCAGAAAGTTGAAAGGAAAAGAAAACTACTCGAGGAGATTTTCGAAGAGAGAGACGAACTTCCAGTGTCTTCCAAGAGAGCCAAACCCGCAACAGAAAATACGTTTGCCGCACAACTTGCCCCAGAAATGGCCGCCTTAGGCTTCCCTGCTGGTGGAAATTACGCTCATGATTCAGGCGAGGTAATATCTAATTGCGCACCTTTCGTTATCTCTTAGTATACTTTACCTTGTACTTTTGAGATCAGTAAAAAGATGTTTGTGTTTGCCTGGAATACTCTAAGGAAGCTTAAGCAATGACGATGGCAGTGAAAACGTTGCTATAAAAAATGAATTTGCGTCGTTTCAAACTTTCCCGGGGGCGCGTCTATTTAGACCCGTTCAATTTGTCAAATGTAGGCGATTTTTCCTGTAGTTGAATTCTTAAGGACTTTATCCGGTTTAAAAAAAAGGGGAAAATTCGTTGTCGTACATTCACGTCCTCCATAAACATCGCATTAGGGGTTTTCACTTCGTGGTCGTGCAGTGGACGTAAAAAAATGTACTTAAAAGCGTGGTGTACGTGCAGAGCTGTTGTTTTGCACATAAAACCAATTCTTTTGTTGTTGTTGCCGTCGTTGTTTTCGTCGTGGTTACCTAAGCTCCGTGTTGTTGAGGTCCAAACATGCTATGCGGCATTGTTCACGACTAGCGCGCCTTGTAAAGTTCTCACTTGATTTCATACGTTTGGGAGCTAGTTTTTTTACCTCGGAATGCATGCAAAATGTAATTCACATTCTTATGTCGATGACCTTACAAAATTTCAGTCAAGGCCTGAAGTTGTGTAAGTTACTATTGAAGTGAATCACCGGTACTCTTCCTTCGTTAGGACGAGTAACTCGTTAGAATTCTTCCTCACTGTAACGCGCAAAAGACTACGAGTGGTTAATCTGTACGCTTGTTGCTTCATTCAGGGCGATGACAGTGATAATATAAACACTGGAGGAGAGCCCAAGAAAAAGAAGAAGAAGAAGAAATCTGGAAGCAAAAAGAGCAAAACTGAAAACTCTGATATAAACAGTCTGGATGAGGAGGACAATTTTGCCGAGATGGAATTCATTAACAATGCTATCAAAGCAACTATGGCAGTGAAAAAGTCCCAAAATGAAAAGAGAAAGAAAAGAACAAAATAATCACTATTAGCTTTGAAATAAAGAAACACGCTAGTCTGTGCCAAGAAGTTTTTTTAAATGCAGCCTAGTATACATTTGGCTTAGAAAATAGGCGACATATTTCGCAACGTCACAACTGGTTTCCCCGCCACGAAATGACGTCTGAGGGACAAACGCAGAAATTCCATTCTGATGACGCGTCACTACCCAGATCTGGGAAGTGCTTCTGATTGGTTGAAGCAAATTTTCCTCGCGGTGCGACAGGTCAGAAGCACTACCCAGATCTGGGTAGTGACACTTAAAACGTCATCTGCTTGGAATTTTTGCAGTCGTTCCTAAGACGTCATTCCACGGGGAAACCAGTGGTGACGTCCTGAGATGTTGCCTGTTTTCTCAGGTTAAGTGTGCCTAAGTCTTTCCGTTTCTCGGCGCTCTTTCCCAACCTTTCCGCAAGGCAACCAATTAGACTGGGTGTTGATTGCTAGGATCTGTGATCAGGGCCCCGTTTCCCGAAAGGCCCGGAAACTTTTCGGGCCCGATAGTAGCACAGTTCCTAGCTGACTGCTCACAAACACAGTGGCGGATCCAGGGGAGCCCCTCCCATCACCTTATTCTGAGGCCCAAAGGGCAGAAAACCTGGCAATTGGCCCGTGTCACAGACGTAGTCTTAGCCTGCGAGCAAGCTTTCCATTTGGGGGATATCGTGAAAAGTAGACGTGCGAGAGGCACGCGAGAGGAGACGCGAAAGCGGAGAGCGGGGAAGAGAAAGGAGAGCTTGCAATGATTTCCCATAAATTCTCATTTCCACCCGGGAAACCCCGGGACACCGCAAAGCGTGAAAACTGTCACCGCAAACGTGCCGAAGATTAGAAAAGTGACAACCGCCTGACATGTTTAGACAGCCGAGGGAGCGTAGAATTTATTTATTTATTTATTGCTTTCGCAACAGCTTTCCACTGCATCAAAGCACTGCCACTCGCTTGCGCGTTCTCGCGCGACTAACTTCGCTCGCCCAATTATATTAGGAGAACTTGCTCGCAGGCTAACGTAATCGCCTGCTAGCAGAGGTTTACTGAGTTACGTTTCGCTACCTGGTGATAGATAAAAGGAAAAGGACAAACAGAAACCAAACCCTAATCTATGCAATATTAAAATATGTCCTTTCTGTTCGTTGAATTCATTTCACGAATTGCGAATTTTGTTTTAGAGGGCCACTAGGGAGGGAGAATATTAGAATTTTTAAGATCTTTTATTATAACTACTATTTGTAAATAAGCTTTTTCTCATGACTGTCGTAATTTATTATTATCAATTTTGTTTTTAGAGGGCCACTAGGGAGAATACTTTTCATAGTAATTGGTGTCACCATCTTAAAATAAAGGTTATTAGGTTATTACTTGCGGAGGGTTTTGTCTAGTCCGTGTTCCCTGGCAGTTGTATTCCCAGGCTACCATTTACGCTCAGTTTTTGAAAAATGAGGAACAAAGTTTCCACTGTAGAGAGGTGGACCCAGGCTTTTTAGAACTGACAACAGAGACTCAGCGCTACTCACTGACTACTGAGACGCGAGGAAGACGCAAGGCTACATGTATTTCGACTGTTTCGCAGGTTGTCTAAGTAAGTAATATGATGATGACGATGTTGATGTTGATGATGATGATAATACTGATAAGAACAAAGTGAGAATGCTGCTGATTCGAGCTTTTCGGGCCTGCAAACTTGACCATTGCCAGACCCCTCTAGCGTACACGCTTTTGCCCACCTTGCCACGGTCCTACAAAGACGAGTAAAGTCTGGGTACAAACTAACATTTTTTCTCACAAGGAAGTGACTTGATCTCGTGATCAGAAATACCTTCAGTTCAGTGAACGCCTTGATGGCCATTTCGATCTGTGAGGCTGAAACTTCTCTCTTTGGCTGGTGATTACAATAGTTCATTTTGTATTCCGAGAAGAAATTCAAGTGAATTAAAATACCAAGACATCGCGTGACTTTCTCGCCTGGAACTCTTGGAAGCTGACGAGCTGAGCTTGCTACCGCGGCTGTTGTGCAAAAGGTAAGAAATCCTGACGATGTTGTCTTGTTGGAAAATATGTTAGATATACTAAGATGACTCCGGTGATTTATTTTGCCCTGCAGACACTAAACAACAAGGAATTTTACGATGCAAATTTAATATTTCAAAAAAGAGAACTATCATAAGGACATTCCATAAAGGGTGTTACATGTCGATAATTTCGAAAGTCGATTAAAATCGATCGTTGTCGATAAATGTCGAGTAGAAATCCCGGGGGGGGTACTGCCATATATGGGCTATATAGGTATGTGCCGCTGTGAAGGGTATGGTTTTCAAGCAGTTTACTCTAGGATAGGGTATATAAATCAGAGCGTTTGGCTCTAGAATAGGGTATCATTTTTCAGGAAACTGATCAGTTGGTTGAAGATTTTATCTAGACTAGGTACACAGCCACTCTAGGATAGGGGGATTTGGGGAGTTTACTCTAGTATAGGGTATCATTTTTCAGGAAACTGATCAGTTGGTTGAAGATTTTATCTAGACTAGGTACACAGCTACTCTAGGATACGGGGATTTGGGGAGTTTACTCTAGTATAGGGTAGCAAAATTCAGCTGAACTAGTTCTGGTAAAGGTTAAGGGTTCCAGGCTCCCAGCGGCACATCCCCACCCAGAAATTCCTAAAGTGCCCCCCCCCCCGGGGTAGAAATCAATCGACAGGTATCTGAAATCGATAAAAGTCGATCATAAAATTTCATTTGACTATCGATTTCTATCGAAGTTGGTGTTTGAGTTCGATTTTTATCCGACAAAAAAAGGATTAGAAGAAACAGTTGATATCTGCTGGCAAACAGACCTTTTCACGGTTTATGACGCCATCTTGGCTGGGGGGCAAACATGGCTAAAATTACAGTGACTGTATGGGATTTTGGCCCACTTGGAACCTCTATAATGCCGCTACAAAGAGGCGGATTTCCATAGTGAAAAAGTACTTTAGAAGACATTTGTACTGAGATTATTTTCATGAAGTATAAAGAAGAGATTTAGGTTATTCAGTTCAATTCTTTTTTAAAGCAGAGAGACAAAATCCCTACCGCAATTACAATGCGACCGAAGGCGATGAATAGACCTTGTCACGGTTTTCGAAGCCATCTTGACGAGTAGGCAAACGCGTGAGAAATTACAGTGTTTGTATGAGAATCTAATGTCGAATAATTGCCGTGGAACGGCTGTTCTGAAAAAAATATGATTTGTAAACTAAAGCTTCACTCCTGAGGATTCTCCTGAAAAAATTTGAGGGCGTTACATGCACTAGAAGACCTAGAACCACTTTTTAAAATTTTCTATACATTTGTCTGTAAGAAAGTCCTGGGGAAATTACAGACAAATATATGGAAAATCTAAAGCAAGCCTCTGGAGAAATTTAAGCACAGGTACGCCCCAAAATTTTTTAGGACAATCCTTTGCCTTGTAGCTTTAGTTTACAATTGATATTTTTTTCAGAACAGCTGTTTACGGAAATTATTCGACATTAGATTCTCATACAAACACTGTAATTTCTCACGCATTTGCCTACTCGTCAAGATGGCGTCGAAAACCGTGACAAGGTCTATTAATCGACCATAAACGAATTTTTAAGATTTCATACAAACCCTTCTAATCAACAGTATGCAAATTACCATGAAATAGAAGCCACATGAGAAGATTTATAATTCAAATTTTGCGGATATCGTACTTTCTTTAATAGCCTTATTTTCTGTTGAATGAATGATATTAATAAAACTATTTAAAGTAGTGGCAAATGTTGGAAATCCGCCTCTTTGTAGCGGCGTTATAGCGGTTCCAAGTGGGCCAAAATCCCGCCAAAATCCCATACATTCACTGTAATTTTAGCCGTGTTTGCCCCCCGCCATGATGGCGTCATAAACCATGAAAAGGTCTATTATTAACATCCATTCAAAACGTTTTGCGCCATTATTAAATCAGATGAAGGACTTTCTTGAAAGTCTGCTTGAGCTTTTGCAACATTCGTCTCCTGATTCGTTCAAAAAGTTGTTATATCCGTTTGTAAATGCGTAGCCTGTTGATTGCTTCGCAAGAGGCAGGGGTTCGTCACGCGTTCCTGCCCCATTAACGTCAGTGGGGCAGGAACGCGTGAAGAACCCCTAAGAACGTCTGCGTGGGAGGCTACACGAAACTCTGAGTAGCAATGAATGGTCAAGATTTAATTCAGTTCCATCAGTCTAGTGGGGGGGGGACAGGGGGCGGGAGCCAGGGAGAACAGGGGGCAGGAGGGGTACCGGAGAGAGAGAGAGAAATTAAAAAAGGCAAGCTTTCGGTATTTGTTACTGCTTTAGCTTACATCCAGTTAAAGAAACAAACCCAACAACGTTTCTTGACTTACATTTAACGTTCTCCGAGACTTAAAGCAAAATTTTATACGCGAGAAGAGTCAAAACACGAAAATTTGTAGTCGGGGTAAAAAAAACAGCATTGCTTCCTGTGAAATTGAAAACCTTTCCGAGTCGCTTACATCATAGGACATGAATGAGATGGCATGGCACATGTACACATCCCGGAGTAGTCAATCGATAAAAATCGGTATCGATTTATCAATCGATGAATCGATAAAAATCGGAAAAACTGATTTGATTGATATCGATTGTATCGATCAATCGGTAGAAATCGATGACACACTCGTTTCGTTTCTCTGTTTATCTTGATTTTTACCGATTTCATCAATTTATATCAGAGTCTAATGATATCTTTTCATCTGTTCATCCAAAAATGAAAACTGGTTTCATGCGAACAGTAAACTTGTTGACAATTCAGCTGCAACTGAGAGTCGAAGGATCAAACAATCATCACTTTTTAAAAAAAATCTTTAAAAAATATCTGAAAAATCTGATCTTTTCTTTACAACCGGGTTTAAAATAGGCGGGTAGGCGCCCAGTCATGATTAAGACCCGGCCGCCCTTTCAAAATAACGTCGGTGTAGTTCTGGGT